CAATCTAGAATCTCGGAAATTTTCCTCTTTCATCATCACAAAAATCATGGGGCACATCTTTTTGCAAAGCGCTATAAAACGATTTTACAGAAATGAGAATCGATTCTAATTCGATTAACGATTAAAATGATTATTATAGAATCGATTCACAGCCCTATGTTTGACTCGTTCGATTAAAAATTGAGGTCCTGGTATAATCGACTGCTTGTTGAAGAGAGTCGCCTGTGACATATCTTTAGATGAATCTAATAGCGCGCAAGCTATTAAGTGATCTCGTAATGATTTATGGAAAAACCAATATTGATTCCCACGTCGAATTAATGGCATGCTAAAAAGCGCCAGGCGACATTTCTCATTTGTATTTTCTAAAAACGCCGCCCCTTCTTCTTTTCTAGATCATAGTCTATAACTACTTTGTCATTATCTATAAACATCTTGAAAGCAAATTCTTTACCAAATTGTAGATGATAATTAGTAAAACCTTCTTTATTTAAACGATCAAACTCTTCTCGTTCTTTAGGTTTTAATTGAATTTTTTACAAGCGATCTTGAGCACGCTCAAACCATTTCATAATAAATTCATCGTACAAATCCATACGATTTATTTGAGATGTTTTTGTTTTTCCGAGAAGGCCTGGTAAAACAGTCAAAGTAATTTTTAATAGAATGGGATTGCACGCATGATCTTTTATTTGAGATATATTTTTTATTTGCCGAATATATTTTTCTGCGTTCCATGATAATGGGCTATCATTCTTCTTGGAATAATCAACATATTTTATGATATTTTTTTATTTGCTGAATATATTTTTCTGCGTTCCATGGTAATGGGCTATCATTCTTCTTGGAATAATCAACATATTTTATGATATATTGTTCTATTTCATCCATCAAAAATGGTGTAAGTGACGATTCCTAGAACCCTCTTTTTCCGTTTTTTAGCCTTCATTTAAGTACTCTGGTTGACAACTGGTGATAATTTTCGCATTTTCCCATTTAGAGAACTTATTGCTATCATAGCAATGACGTTCACGTTCAGCAATCTCATCATAACCATCTAAAATAAATACCACGTTGACTTAATGCTAATACATTATTTGTTCGATCTCTAATGATTATCTAAATCTGTGAGCGATTCTTTAACTTTATTCATCATGCGAGATGTTGTATAGTGTTGGCTTAATGCTTATGTTAAATTTTTTTTAATGATTTGTTTAAATATGCACATGATTTTCATAATTTCATTGTGCTTCATATAACAATTTCTTTTTTTTTTTGATGACAATGATTCATTTGAATATGCAAGCGATCCTTCAAATTTGTTCGTGTATTGTGTTGCATCATGCTGACTTAGCCCATTCATTATTGGGTTCCACGATGCGCATCACCATGCTTTGAATCTTTTTGATCAGTTCACTTTACGTCAACTCGAACGATTACTACATCCGATTAGAATAAAGAGTTTTGTGGATGAAAACGTAAAACTCGAACTGAACTATATACTCCATTGCACTACGTTCATGGTACTCCTCTATTCATCTAAAAACGAAAGTGTTATCTGTGTGCAAATTAAATTGATCTTTCAAATCAAGTCATTATATGCGAACGCACCTACTTATAAAATCACGATTTCAAGATCCCGTGAATGGATGCAGATCATCGTACTTTTTAGTATAACGCATACAAAATTAGGGCATCCAATCAGAATTGAGATTTTGTGGACGCTGAGAAGGGGTGACCAATAAACTTAAATAATCTAACAACTATCTAACACACAAGATAGTGTATATTCGGCAACCTCAAGACTCTAAAATCTTGAGTGGTAGGCTTCGAATAGAGGCGTGGAAAGACTTGGTCCGAGATTCAGGGTTCTTAGTGTCTTGGAATAATATTACTGGGCTCAGCTACGTCTTCTTGGCTTATGTCCAACTTTAGTTGCTTTATTGTATCTGGATTTATTCGATACTAATTCTTCTATTTCTCTAACTCTAAGATACTACGATCGTTAAGATTCTTAACGGCTATCACGTGTTACGCAATCACGATTTCGGTGGCGATCGGAAGTTTAATATTGACTACGATCGTTAAGATTCTTAACGATAATCTTGATGGCGTCACGAGTAAGAGATATCGGGATGCGGATCTTCAATTTTAATACAGACGTCACGAGCTTCTGATGTCAGGGTAATTTGGCTGATCGAAACAATTAATTTGTAATAATGCAAGATCACTAATTCGATTGTTGTGCTAATTAGTGATAACAATGCGTCACGAGAATGATCAGTATTTAAATAAGTTCAGTTATTTCAAATAAGGTCTCTTTACTTTCTTTATTTGTCTTATAAGCGATAACTACTTGTTATAATACTATAAAGTAATCAAGAATTGGGTTTATTAGGAACGATTTGGGTCAAGAGGACAATTTTATTTAAGGAACAACTTATACTATGAGGATTTCGAAGTTTTAAACTCAACTGAGTTATCTTTATTCAAAGGTGAGCGAAGAGCTCTTATATACTTAAAATTTACGGACTAAGAAAAGATAAAATAAAATCCTTTTATCTATTTTATCTATTTTATCTTTTTATCTTTTTGTCCTTTTTTGTCCTTTTTGTCCGTGTCCCACCTTTTACTAAATATAAATGACATTTACAGCCGAAAATAGAAA